AACCGCCGGATGACAAGAAGAGTTCTGGTGGGAAGTTCTCCGGTCCCACCCCAGAATGGAGACTATGAGAATCATGAGCCGATACCAACAAGAGAGAGGAACCCAGACGTATCCTCAGCTCCTGGAGCCAGCCAAGAAGACTATGTAGAACTACCTGTCCCTGGGGACCAACCAGCAGTGGACAAGCCCTTGCAGCCTGAACCGATGCTGACACGCCTTAGACCTAGAGGAGCTCTAAGAAGACCGGACAGACTTATCGAACAATGCTAAGATTAGTTTCACTTTAGGACACTGGAGAACAGCGTTGTCCTTATTGACATTTAGTTAACTTAAAAAAAAAAGGGAGATGTAGTAACATTAAGTACTAATTGACCGCTGACGGGCGGTAGCGCGGTCATTCGAGAGAGCTATATGAATCTATCGTATTAAAGTATGTTGTGTTGATGCTGTGGTCTCTGTACCTCTTCGGACTCAACAACTAACAGTGAGCCTGGGTTACCTATGATCAAACCACGCCCTTCCTTTGCAAAACAAATTATAGCATTGACCACATTATAAGACGTTTTCATGAAGAGAATTCCATAATGCCGGGACTCTTCAGTTAGAAAAATCTGGTCTTATGTGATATGCAGGGTAATAATTATGGGCTTTTAGTGAAAACGATAAAAAAATTCCCAAAATCATCTTTTCGGCCAGCCGGACGGGTTCTCACTTTTGACAGGCACCAAATTTGCAGTGCGATGAAAAGAGTTACCATTTACGCTTCAACATGATAGAGGATTTGTTATGTTTAGGTTTTATTTTCCTTAATTTATACATAAAACTGTTTATGGTTTTGTTATGTGTAATCTTTAAAAGCGAGTTATAATCTACGCGCGGCGTTTTGAATATTCCTGCGTGCGATGTTTATGTTCGACTCAAAACAACCGGTGCAGCGATAAAAATTGCGAGAGGGACTACTAACAATCAATAAAATAAATATAATTCGGTGAAACATGTACAGAGACAATAATTTTCATTCACGACGACAAGTATTGAAAGCAAAGTGTCTCCGAAAATCATGAATCAGGTAAGCATAAGCTTATTTATGTTTTAAGCCGGCTTCCCGGTGTTGGCTCTTTTTCAAGATGAACTCGAGGCAAGAAAATGGCTCAGAGCTTTCTGTTTACAGCCAAAATCATAACTAAATATTCTTCGGAACCTTTTCTTTGAATTTGCGGTCAAAAAATGTCTAAATTCTTTTTAAACCTGATACTATTGTAGGTTAGATCATTGCTCGTGTATAAACCTAAGCCGCATAAACCATACGCACACACCAAAGACAATAATTGCTCAGGCTTACCAGTCGAGATGCTGCTTCTGAAGGTCATCAAGTGTTCCAGAATCGCTTGAGACTTTTCAACCCTCTTACGCCTCAAGCAAGGGCAAGTGAGTAACCTCATTGTTTAAAACAATGCCATCCGATATCGGATTTCCAATGACTTTGAAAAGCGGTGCATTTGTCAACAAAAAGAGCAATAAACAAACCAGCCATGAATTACAGAACAATCTTGATACCAGCTGTATTTCATTTTGTACAGCAAGTGGGAAAAGAGTTTAAAATATCACAAGATGACACAAAACTCTGTCGGCTTCAGCTATCAGTAAGCAAGTCTCCAGACGCTGCATAAATTTTGCGCATGAACTCACCTGTCAAATTTTGACCAATCAGACCAGAAAAAAATGGACATAGAGCGTGATCAACGCGTGACAGTGAGAAAAGTAAAAAACGAATGCCTTCCCTGCATGTAAGAGCCGGTTAAATTTTCGCGTGCGAGGTCAGTTCGAAATCAAAATTTTAAAAGTTCGGCTCATGAACACGACTTATTTAATATGCATTCTAAAAAAATTGAACTTGAGCTTGCGATCATTTGAAAAGTAGCAACTTGTCAGCGGATTACTTCAACAAACAATCGAACTCAGTGGGTCGATACCTGAGCCCGCAATACGGTCAGGCGATACTGGTCAGCAGAAACAATATTTTACCAGCTATCAATTAATCAAAACATGGATGTACAATATCAGGTTGCAGGCTCCCAATGTGAGATTAATTATTGGTATACCTGTGGTGCGGAAAAAACGGAAGGTCGGGTGGTCGATGTACGGTCACGTGATTGCTGAATTTTCTAGGATGGATAGATTTTCTAAACTATGGGTGACCTCAAGGGGTAGAAAAATGAGCCCGCGCTACAGTCAGGTGATGATGGTCAGCGTATACTCTAGTTTGACAGCTGTCAATTAACCTTCATTAGAATGGCGAATATTCGAATTAACAGACTACGAGCTCTGCCCGGGGTAGTTTGGTAAGTGTGACATATTACATCAGCTTATATGTAGGGAGAAAACGACTTGTCTTTGATCTGAGCCCGCGAGATGGTCATGTGGTAATTGTCAGCGGATGTCTGACTTTGACAGCTGTCAATCCAATCGTACTCATACGGATGGCTTACAAAACTGAAAGGGTAGTCAAGTTGTGCAAGATCTATTGTGACATTTGACATCGGCTTACATGAAGTGTGTGTACGGGTGAGCGGGCGGGCGTACGCTACGTCATAACCAAATTTTCTCGGATGGATAGTTTACCAAATTTTGTTACCCATGGTGCTCCGCTGCGCGCGCCTCCGCTATAAACTGACGCGTACACCGACCATATATGGAGAGCATGGTAGAATAGCTCATATACAATTCAAAGTAGACAGCCAGCCAATCAAAATGCTAGAATTGCATTATCTAATGATTCAGTTTTTAATAATTATTATTATTATTATATGGCCGAGTCTGTTTTCGCCATGCGATTGGTCAATTTGCAGTTCGTAACTTGCTATACGGACCAAAACTTTTAAAGAAAATGCTCATTTCGGAGCTTTAAATCTCTTTACCTCGGAAAAAAGGTTTAAATAAAGTTATAAGACGCCTGTCAACCTTGAAGACTTGGATGTTGACTATGGCTTTCAACATTTTAAACTGTGCTTATTTGTGAACGAAGGCGATAAAGAAACTAACTAGTAATCTTATCGAGGAGGATTCTAGTCAGTCAGTGTTTGAAAATTTTATCGTAGTACACAGTTAAGAAGACGAAAATCGACTGGCAGAGATTCGAGATGTTTTGCCTAAGAGAAAATGAGTAATTCCTTCAACAAATATGATAACAAATATACCGGCAACCGATCATCTTGACAAGCTTCTTTGCCATTCGCAGTGTTTTTTCAAAGACCAACGAAAGAAAGGTAGAAGCGAGTTCGAGCCAGACACAATAATGTCCAGTTTTCAAAAGACTCCAGCGTCACATTAACGAGTGAATACTTACAGTGCTCTTAGTTTCCACCGAATAAACTTTGAAATATGTATGTAAACCCTGAGGCTGGGATGTTGACTTTCACTTTCCAAATCTTAACCTAGCTTTGTTTTAATGTGAATGAAGCTGTTGTAGAAACTGAATTGTAACCTTACCCAGGAAGAGAATTCTAGTCAGTGTTTGAAAATTTTAACGCAGATCGCAATTGAAGACGAGAATGAACTGGCAGAAAGAGAGGTTTTCCCAAAAACAATAAACGAACGAATCCTTCGACAATGACAACAAACTTACCTTGAAAAGCTTCTTTGCCTTTTGCAGTGTTTTTCCACAAGGACAAACGGAAGAAAGATGGAAACGACTTCTAGAAAGACACAGTGTCCGGTTTCCAAAATACTCCAGCGTTACATTAAAGAGATAAAACTTACAGTGCTCTTATGACCGAATAAACTTTTTCAACATGGCGAAATTGTTTTTCCTTTCTCTGAAAGCCTTTGTTATGTGCTATTGTTTTCGTGCGCCAATAAAAACTTTCTTTTTTGACGCCTGTCAAATGACTGTCAAATCGTGCGTCCTGTACTTGTTTCGGGTCGCCCAAACAGGAAGAAGCCATATAATAAACATCTTATTAGCCTCGTTTTTTCGGTCCGTACTATAAATTACGGATCCTCGTTTTTTTCCATCGATTTATGGCCCAAGCGCGAAAAAAACACGGTCCGTAATTTACAGCACGGACCGAAAACTAAGGCTGAGGCTAATAAGAGGTATGTATACAGAATGGTTGAGCTCGCGTAGAGTTGTTCCCTCCAAATTTTTTTCTAGTATATATTTATTATTATACAGAGTGGTTAAGCTCGCGTAGAGTTCCTCGCCCAAAACTTTTTACTAGTATAAATTTATTGTTATACAGAGTGTTTGATCTCGCGTTACGCTCCTCGCCGAATTTTTTTTTAATAGTATATATATAGTATTTTACAGAATCATTGTTTTCGCGTAGAGTTCTACGCCCAAATTTTTTTACTAGTATATATATGTTAATTTCAAATAAGATAATTTTTTTACGGAGTAAAGTTGTTCGCAGAAATTTATTTATACAGTACTGTCTGACTTTTTCGCGAAACTTGCACAAGTGTATATACCGAAGGCAAACATGATTCAAAATGCTGCATACATTTTCCGCATGAACTCACCTGTCAAACTTTGACCAATCAGAGCATAAAAATTGGACGTACAGCTTGACTGACTCGTGGACTGGCTTGAGAAGCGATAGTCGACAGTCTGAATGAAATCCACTCTCTCCAAATTCCAACTGAAGGATAAAAAAGCTGTACGAGAGCGGTGGAACCTTCTCCGAAAAAGGTCTGCAAAAAGATGAGCGAGGAAGAGAAGGCAAGTGGGATTTCTGTGAAAGAGTTAACGAAGAAGGAATCACTGATCGAGGAGTTTGTGGAGAGAGACGATACCATACAAGCAAAGGCTGAATCAGCATCGAAAAAGCAACTCAAGGATAACGAGACTGCAGAAGATATCAGGAAAAAAGCAATGGAGAGCCTTAAAGAGACCAAGAAGCGCAATTCAGAAGGTGGAGCTTCTCCAAAACGTCATAAGTCGAGACGTGCAGAACCACTGGTCGAGTTTTTGCGAGAGAAAGCAGCGGCTGACCGCGAAATTAGACAACAGGAGTTACGTGCAAAACAACACGAACAGGAAAGTCAACAGCAAATGATAAAAGCTTTGATGCTTCAGCAGCAACAAATGAATACTGCATTTTTGAGTGTTGTGAAAAAGCGATTAGATAAGTAATCAGCTATCAAAATGTTTTTATTTAAAACATGTTGTTATTCTTGCATACGATTTAAGCTTAATGTTTACGTGTATTTCAGAACTTTTAAAGATTGCACCAATCTCATTATTGTCCACTGTCGTCACAAAATAACTTGATCACCATCCAATGTTCCAACCGATTGACCGCTGACTGGTATAAACAACATCTTGTTGCATTCAATATCATTGCTCAATCTGTCAGGAACAAATCTGCTATTATATTTGCGATCGTACACCTGCCATTGTTACTCTTACGGAACACTGGCTAACCGATCTCGACTCTTCAGTAAGAGCTGAACTTTGCCCCAAGGGCTACAAAATCCTAGATCACACGAGCTCACATCGCTGTGGAGGGGGGACTGGAATCATCTATCACGAGTCGCTGGATGTAAAAAAGATTGACGCTGGTGTACGCGTGCGAAATTCGTATGAATTCTCCGAATGGATTATTAAATCTGGCGGTTATAGCATTCGTTTCGCAGTTATCTACAGATCACCCTACTCTGAGCGCCATCCTGTCACCACAAATGTATTCCTTACTGAATTCCCGGATTATCTTGAGTCATTCTTGCTTTGCAAGGAACGATTATTAATAACTGATGATTTTAATATCCACGTGGATGATTGTAGCAACCCAGAAAGTCAGAAATTCCTTGACCTCTTAGACTCTTTTGATCTCCAACAACATGTTAAGCAACCAACACATCGTGACGGCCACACACTTGATTTATCTATTACACGCAAGTAGGAAACACTTGTTGATGATGAGCCAACGGTTGATCTATTTATATCTGACCACGCAGCCGTGTTCACTAGGCTAGGACTGTCTCGACCAGGTCTCTCCCTGAAAACCACCACCTACCGAAAAATCAAATTCATAAACCAAGACAGCTTTCATAGTGATATTCAAGCCTACTCACTGTGCGATGACAAACAGTTTGACACTGCTGACGACTCCGATGCGTATATGCGCGTGAATACACTTCCACCTTATCAGCACTGCTTGATTGACACGCGCCACTTAAAACACGCAGAACAGTTACCAGACCTGACGTACCCTGGTACAATGAAGCTATCGATAATGCTAAGCGAGAGCGTAAGAAAGCAGAACGCAAATGGAGAAAGACAAAGGCTGCCGATTATCTGCTTGATTTCAAGTCAAAGAGAAACCACGTGACCTATTTGATGAATAAGGCTAGGGGGGAATTCCACTCTGAGTTTATGGTTGAAAACTGTGCATATCAAAGGAAGTTGTTTAATGCTGCGAAAAAGCTTCTGGGCATGAAGGATGAACCCTTGTTTGCCGAACAACTTGACAAGACCATAATCGCGAACGATATCGACAGGTATTTTGTCAGAAAGGTGGAGAAGATTCGCAATGAAATTGATGCTACACCTATCAGTTAGTCTGATCGCGACCTCGTACCTCCTGACAAACCTGTGGTGGACGCGAATGTAATACGGCGTTCCTTCCGGAATCTGAGCGAACAAGATATCTACGATCTTATTCAGAAATCGGCTAAAAAGTCATGCGTGCTTGATCCTCTGCCAACCACCTTGGTGTGTGACTCGCTTGATGTTCTACTTCCTGTCATCACAAAGTTAGTCAATACCTCACTAACTACTACGCACTTTCCCACTGAATGGAAACAAGCGATTGTCAGCCCACTCCTGAAAAAAGGTGCTCAGGACGTAACCCATAAAACTTACGACCTATTAGGAACCTTCAGTTTGTCTCAAAAATTACCGAGAGGGCTGTCTTCGACCAAGTGTATAGTCACATGACTGACAACGAAGTGTTTCCTGTGCTACAGTCTGCCTAAAGGAAAGGGCACAGCACGGAAACAGCACTACTGAGAGTTGTAAATGATATTTTGTCCAACATGAATAAGCAACACGTGTCAATTCTTGTGTTGTTCGATCTGAGTGCGACATTTGACACTGTCGACCATGCCATACTCTTACGCCGACTCGAGACCTC